TTGATGAGATAGAAGTGAAGAGGTAGTTGGATAAGGTGGCCCAACTTTCAAAGGAGCCAAGAAAAAGAAAGAGATCCGGTGGCTCCCCTCTTAGTGTGGATGGACAAGGAAGTGAAAGAGGGTGATCCAACGAGGGAAACAGTCCCAAGTTCAAATTTAATACATTAAGACTCTAAATCCTTAGCAGTTATTTAAAATAAGGTTACTGGTGAGTTAATTATAATCAAGTGAAAACCTGCTCAGGTGAATTAATGCAATTTAAGGTGCGAGATCAAGACGAGTCGCTCCTTCCTTTTGATCGGGGACCAGGCATTCCTCTAAGTGTCCTTCCATACAGAAGGTTTTCCAACCGTCAAACTTGGGTTACATTCCTCTGTCTGAGAGAGGTGAGGCAAGCTGGCAATCTCTCTTAGTGCTAACTTCACCATCTAAGTAGGATGATTTGGAGGAATGTCTGGAAGAGGGCTTTGAGTCAGCTGAGGAAGCATAAAGCAGACAAAAGTGCAAGGTTGTAGCTTCTGACTTTGATTCTTTTTCTCTCTTCACCCCTAAAGAATGATAAGGGGGTAGTGATTGTTGGACTCCTCTATAGGAGAAGTGATCAGAGGTTTTCATGAAATTTGATTCCAGCTTTGGATTAATAAACTTTGAAAGCCCTTGAACTCTAAGTAGGCCGAGTTTACACCCACTATCATCTTATGATTAGTCGACCTTGAGGAGCACATGGAAAACCTCTGCCTCATGGAGCTATGCCATTTATTCTACCATTTCCAACTGCTTGGGCACGTGTTGACACACCACATGGTGTCACTCTACTTGGCTATGAGGGAGAAAGCCTCTAAGGTTGAGGCAAGAGCTCGAGGATACCGGGAGTGGGAAAAGCTCACAACAATGAGGGCAGCTGAGGCAGAGGCAGAGCTAAATGACGTGAAAGTTGAATTAGAGATGATGTTAGAGTGGGTATCTCTTGTATAGGAGGAAAATGCCAATTTGTTAAAGCAGATAACCATAATGACTACAACTGAAGAACTTTATGATGGGTAAGTTGATTACTTGGAGGATGATCAACAAATAATGGTTGATGAATTTGTGAGATTAGGCATGGTTGAGCTTAAGTATTTTAATATCAATGAGTTTAGAAAGCTTTTTGATGCCCCCCTTTGCATCCAAACAACGAAATGAATTTGAGGGAAATATTGTGGCAAACGGAGGGTCGTCCAACACTCGACCCCATGATCCCTATATTCAAATTCTTATATTTTCTTAATTTTTTTATTTACATGTAATGAAGATGTTATACACGATAGTTTTGTAGCAAATGACTACAAGACCTTTCAGTCTTTTTTTTGTAATATTTTGTGTGATTAAACTAAATTGGTTTGTTAAACATTTATTGACACATTTGTTCACCTCGAGTCTTGCTCTTTGTCATTAAAGACTTGAAAGTTAATGCCATTTTTGAGGTCCTATTGGATATCATGATGTTGCTATCGACCATTCAGATTTTTTATGAGTGCTTCAAGTATCTTTTTTAGGCTGACCTAAGTTTTAGTTTACCAAACCCAAAAATTTTGTTCAGTTGATCTGTGCCTTGTAGGGGTAGTCGATTGTAATTTTTTTTAAGGTTTTTTTCTCAGTTCCCTTTCTATGGAGCTTTATCACTACTGGGCTAATGATCGCATCTAATGATTAACTCATAACATAGAAAAAATTCAAGCAAGGGGTCCATGACCAGCAATCATAATGCTTTATCCTGTCGTGCATATTTTATTATGACTGAGCGTCTGAACGTGTCTTTTGGTAGTCTTTTCTCTTATGGAGACCAAACATCAAAACACTCCTTTTGGTCATCTTTTTAGGGCACCTTAGTTCCTGAGTATTACTTTGATGTAAGACTCATTAACTTTTCAGTTTACCAAGCAATGTTAGATTTGGGTTACAATTGCACGGTTAAATTTTTCTTGCAAGTGTATGAAAATAAAACAAAAGTTCATGTTAAATATGAGTGTTATCAAGCTATTTTTCTGAAATACGTGTACATTACAATTTATTCCAAGGGAATTTTTTTTTAAAATCATCCTCACTCCACGTTCGTTGAACCTTTCTCTCGGTGTATGATTTTAGCTTGTACGCTCCTGAGGCAACTTGTTGGTTGATTATGAAGGGACTATTCTAAGTTTGATCGAGCTTGGAAACCAATTTTCCTTATGTGGTTGGATCAGCTTTCTTTAGAACTAGGTTGCCAAGTGAGAATGCCCTTTCTTGGACTTTCTTGTTATAATATTGAGTAGTTTTTTTTATATCTTCCAGTCAAAGTGTTGCATTGGTTTGAACTTCTTCAAGCAGATCGAGAGCGAGCACCACTCCTTCATTATTCACCTTTTGCCAGTCAGTGAGATTCTTTTCATTGAAAGATGTTTTAGTGATGAATCTTTGGCTATGATAATTGTATTTGACCGGTAACATTGTTTCGTTCCATGAGAAAGCATGTAAGGTGTTTGCCCAGTCACTGACGTTGGAGTGATTAGGATAACCCATAAGACGGATGAGAGCAAGTTCACCCAATTTCATATTGCATCTTCGACCTTCTTATTTAGAAGAGTTGGGATGATCTTGTTCACAACCCTTGCTTTCCTGTTTGTTTGAGGGTAATGTAAAATGCAAATTTAATGTTGATTCCCTCACTTTGGCATAAATCTCTTAACCCATTATCAACAAATTGGGCCTCATTATCGGTGATGAGTATTAAAGGTAGGCCATACTGACAGATGATGTCCATCCAAAAAAAAAAATTATGAATGGCTCCTGTGGTAATTTAGGTGAGAGCTTTAGCTTCAATCCAATTGAAAAAATAATCTACGATGACCAAGAGAAATTTTTGTTGCCACTTTAAAGGAGAAAATAACTCAAGAATATCACATCCCAAAATAACAAAAAGCCAAGGACCAGCTATTTGTTGTAATTTTTGGATCTATTGATGCAACAATGCAGTGTACTTTTGACACTACCCACACCTTCGAGAGAATTTTTCTACATCCTTCATGAGGTTTGGCAAGAATGACCGTGCCTCTGAACATGGTGAGCTAAGGTCTTTTCACCGGAGTGGCAGCAACATTTGCCAGAATGCACTTTTCAGAGGATCTCCTCCATCACATTTTCTTTCACACACCTTAGAAATAATGAAGTGTTGACCTTTGGAAGAGTTTGTCTTTGATGAAGAGGTATTGGACAAATTTAAACTTGAACCGCCTAGGATTTGTTACTTCTTCGAGGAACTTTCTTGTTTTTAGGTATTAAACGTAGGAATCCATCTAACTTTTTATGCTCTCACCTTCTACCTCCATTTTTTCTAACTCTTGTATGGTTGGTCAGAAAAGCCTACATTGAGTGTTTTCTCCAAAGCACATCTTCCTTGACAGAAGATCAATCATCTGGTTTTCTTCCCATCCAACATATTTGATTCGAAAGTTTGCAAACTTTCCTCTCTCCATCTTTTCCTTGTTCAAATATTTAACCATCATCTCACCTCGAGCATTGAATTCTCCATGAATTGGTTAAAAACAAGTTGAGAATCTAACTTAATCATGAGATGCTCAACGCCCATTTCATAGTTTGGCTCTTAACACTTTGTATTCTACTTGATTATTTGTAACCTTGAATTATAGGGCGACTTAATGATAAATATGCTCTCCGGTCTACTACATAGAGCCATCCTGATTCCCGCACTTGCTTGGTTGGAGGCTCCATCAATACACAGGGTCCAAGTTTTTCACCTGTTTCAGCTGTCACTCGATCTATCGTGTTCGGAGAAGTTGGCTAGAAATTCAATTACACCTTTCGTCTTAATTACCATCTGGTGAATGCAACTGATGTCATATTCACTAAGTTCCATAGCCCACTTCAAGAGCCGACCGGAGTGTTCCAAATGAGTGAGTACAAATTTGAGCGGATGGTCGGTAATCACTCTGATTGGATGCACTTGAAAATACGATCGGAGCTTATGAGCAAAGACAATCAAAAGAAAATGTTAGATTTTCTATAATTGGGTACCTGAACTTAGCTCTCCCGAGGACCCGACTGGTGTAGTAAATGGGAAATTATTTCCCCAGCTCCTCTTGAACTAAGACTTAGTTGGTGGCTTTAGGCCCGAGTCCCAAATACAACAATATTTCTCCTTCAGCTTCGGGCTTTGCAGTAGTGAAGGTGAGACTAGCGGCTGCTTCAAAATTTGGAATGCTTACTCGCATTCATTTGGCCATTAAAAGTTCTTGACTTTCTTTAATATCTTAAACAAAACAACACATTTATTGCCATATTTGAAAATTAATCTACTACGTGTTGTTAATTGGTCAGTTTTCTTCTGCAACTCATTAGTATTCAACGAAGAAGACATATTTAGGAGTGGCTTTACTTTCTCAGGATTAGTTTTTATACCTTCGGGCGTCAAGAAGTACCCTAAGAACTTCCTGGTTGAAGCTCCAAACATATATTTTAATGGATTTAATTTCATATTATATTTCCAGAATGTTTGAAAAGATTTTCTTTAAGTCATTTATATGTTGTTTGACTGACTTACTTTTAACAAGAATATCATTGACATAGACTTCAATATTTTTTCCTATTTGCTAAGAAAATACTATATCCATATGGCACTGGTAAGTAGTGCTAGTGTTTTTCAGCCTAAAGGGCATTACAATAAAATAATGCAATCCCTCACTCATGATAAAAGAGGCATTCTCAGCGCCGGTCAGGGGCATTTTTATTTGATGCTATACAGAGAAAATATCTAGAAAAAACATGACTGAATGTCCAAATGTAGAATCCACCAGTGCATCGTTCCTCAGCAGGGGGTAGCCATCGTTGGGACAAACCTCATTCAAATTGGAGAAGTGCACACACATCCTCCTTTTTCCGTTGGACTTCTGTACCATACTCATATTGGATACCTAGACGTGATATTGTACTTCCCGGGTGTAGCCCACCTTCTTGAGCTTTATTACCTCTTCGTGGATTGATCTGGCCAGTGTCATGGTTGACGACCATATCTTCTGTTTCACAAGCAGAACAACTAGGTTGGCATTGAGGCAATGAAAAGCCACGTCTATGGGGATGCCATACATCTCAGTGGTCGACCAAGCGAAGATGTTGCAGTGCTTTTGAAGATTCTGGATCAATGCATCTTTTTTACCTGCATCAAAAAACTCACTAAATAGAAAAAAACTTAATCAAGCTCATTGAGGTTAGTGGGGATCTTAAACGCGGCTTCATCTGTTTTAAGGTCCCCTTCTCGTTTGTGTCGTATGTTTAACATTTCTTGCTTCATACTCACTACCGCTTGGAGGTAGCACTTTCCAAACTGCTCCAAGTTCCCATGCAAGGTCACAATTTTCACGCCATGAGGAAATTTCACCACTACATGGAATACATGTAGATACCACAACTCTGAAATTGTTGAGCAGTGGGCGACTAAAGATAGCGTTGAACATTGGTGGTTCATTGGTACACCTAAAATATATAGTATTTTTAGACACATTTTTATACTTATTTTTGAGATATTACGCTTTAATGAAAGATATTTTTGTTTTTTTCTTGTAGATACAAGTAAAAATCGAAAAATGCTTAAAGGTGTGAAAAATGATCAAATTTGGAGCAAAAAAGTGAAAAATTATGCAAAAGAGTTTTGGCGCCTACGCGACAGATCCGGCGCTTACGCGCCGGTTAAACAGAGAAGACCGCGCCTAAGCGTCGAGACCCCGCGCTTAAGCGCCAGTGGCAGTT